TGATAGCTCACTTGATGCACGTGACCTGTGTCACGCACACATACCCAGTGTTAAAATGTATTTAGCTTTATATTTTGAAATGTTGTGACAAGTCTGGAGAGAATCACATCCATGTTAATGTTCCATTCATATTTCATTATCTTACAAATGTTGATGTTATGAAAGTCACATCTCGAACCACTGTGGTTGGGGTTTTGTTTCCATAGATTACCTCTGCGGTCCAGAGCAGAACATACACAAGATTGACTTCACCAGGTTCAAAATCCGAGACATGGAGACTGGCACAGTTCTTTTCGAGATCACCAAACCCCCTACAACAGGTAAGACAAAGGCTAGACCTCTTAAAATCACTTCCTCACTCCACCTACACAGGCTACACATTTAAATGCAAGGCTTGTCTTGCTTTCTTTTTCTCTTTTTTTTCCGCCATAAAGCCCTGATTTCCATTTAGATGCAGCTCGCCGCTCAAGAGCCCTTCAAAGGCTCATTTGATAATGCCGACCCCTTTCTGTTTCACAGAGAGCGGGGAGGACAGAACAGACTTTGACCAGAACGCCGGACGCTTTGTGCGTTACCAGTTCACCCCCGCCTTCCTCCGACTACGCCAGGTTGGCGCCACGTAAGTGCATACTGCAATCAGTGACAGGATTACACTTGATCTTAAATTGCAAGCTAAAATTAGCCTGAAATCACACTTGAGTCTGTTTGACTTAATCTTTAAAGGAGTCATATCACAATGAATAAAAGTTTTAGCTAAATTGGTTAATTGTACTATGAAAACATGCGTTTCAACAACTTCCAAGTAAAAAAAGTCCATGTTAGACAGATGAATAATTGAACAAATGACCGATAAGCAGTGAACAAGTTTATGAACAATTGTTTTGGCACAACTCTGCCTATAGACCTTATTCAGAGCAGCGCCATGACAGGTATAAAAATGAGGCTGTGAGGGATAGTCTTACCGTGTTTCCAATGGCATCCGCTGTAAAAAGCTGAATAAAGCTCCTAGATTACTTACAATTTTCCACAGCTAACATTGTTGGGAGTTTTTTGTCAACTGACATTTCTTGGAAAGATATTTTTCCAGTGTTTCATGAGCAGAACAATCCGAAAACACATTAAATAACAGTACAGCCCATTGAAGAGATGCAAGTCTATCCCTCACAGCCTCGCTTTCATTCTCACTAAAAATCAAAGATGGCGCTGCCGTGAATAAGGCGTATTACCTTTCTATAATCTCCGGGTGGCGCTGGATTCTTCCTGCGTGTTGGGTAGTACAAACGGGTAAAGTGTGGGAATTTCCACATGTACTCCCTTTGGGTAGGATGAGGCCTCCGTAGCATCTCTCTCCACCTGGACTTGGTACGCTTTCCCAACATTAACCACTGGTCTTGGCTGTAAAAAGAAAATGAGCCGAAGCACTCTTTTCCATTGAGAACATAGAGAAACAGCAGTAATTTAACCGTCTCCGTGGTAAGCCTGGTCCATTCCATCCTAAGAGGCATGAAGGACTATTCGGCTTACATGGGGCGTTGAGAAGGTTAAGATCAGGCAAGGACATTTGGTAGCTGGCACGCTACAGCCAACACTCGTAAGTGTGGCACTTTCCATATGGACGCCTAATGTCAGTCGACATAACGTAGAGCGTAACTGACAGACAGGGAACGTCTCGATTACTGTCGTAATGTAACCATCGTTCCCTGATAGAGGGAATGGAGACAGTATATCCCTCCTGACACAACTATCCGCTGAATGGCTCCTCAGCACAGACCTAATGAGTGTATTATTGCAGCTGCCTGGCTATGCATGCAAAATCCACCTGCTAATTTTAATAGCTGTTTTCCCAAGTAGGACCCCAAATGTCAGTCGATATAACATCTCTGTTCCCTCCAGCAGGGAACGAGGGTTAACTAAGACTATACCACTTGTCCTAAGCATCAGAAGAACTAAAGATAAGACAAAGAAAGATTTGCCAGATCTGCTCATAAGTTTGCACACCCCTTGCACAGAATATGCATTAAAGACCATTTAACCAGAGTTTAAACTTCTTGAATTGGATCATCAAAGTAAATTGTACTTATTTTGTCTTCAGGGAAACATGTAAATCATGTAACTTATAAAGGGAATAGATAGATATATCTTTAATTTATGTAGATTTAAGATATTTAATCTTATATAGAACCCTTTTGGCAAAAAGTGTTCTTTAAACCTGAGCCAAGAACCCTAAGGTTCTACTGTACATAGAACCCCATTCGCTGATTTCACGCCATGTTGAAATGGCTCCGGTGGGAAGAAAACCGGAAGTGTCGCCTTTAATCATCGATGGCGTATTGTTGTGTTTAATGTAGAAATGAGTTATTCTAAAAATGTACATACATTTCTTTCATACTTTAGACTATATACAGTGAAATTTATTTATAAATAAAATATATTTTTTTATATATATGTAATTTAGAACGTAAAAAAAAGAAGCAGGAACTAACTATATACATATCCTATATTGGATATTTACATCTAATAGTGTAAATCGTGGTAGTCTAAGACATTGTTGTTAATCTGTACTTGCGGGGTCCTTCCCATCGGAGCCTTGCTTTCGATTTCAAAATGGCGGCTGCGTAAAATCAGCGTATTGAATCTTTCTTGTGTACGCTCTGCATTTTATCACCATCCAGAACATGGTAGAAATTTCATTGCTACATACATAACCTTAAATGTGTCCTTTCCTGCCTCCACAGGGTTGAGTTCACTGTAGGCGATGTTCCAATCAACAACTTTCGTATGATTGAGCGGCACTATTTCCGTGGGCAGCTGCTGAAGAGCTTTGACTTTGAGTTTGGCTTCTGCATCCCGAGCAGTAAGAATACCTGCGAACACATCTACGAATTCCCACCTCTCTCTGAAGACATAAGTAAGTCATGAACTGTTTTATGAATTCAGAGTGTGACTTACTTAATAACTATTGATTGATTTCTGATCTTGTGGCAGTGACATTGTGTTTCTTGCATCCCTCTACAGTGCGTGAAATGATCCTTCACCCATATGAGACACAATCCGACAGCTTTTACTTTGTGGACAACAAGCTAGTAATGCACAATAAGGCAGATTATTCCTATAACGGCGGACCGTAGAAATCTGCATCCAGTTGCAGTGGACTGGCATAGGAACATCTACTGAAAGTGGCATCTAGGCATCTAATCTTGTATGTGATGGTGCATTGGTTAAAAAAAATCTCAGGATTGTGTGTGTGCATATTTGTGCGTGTGTGAGACAGAGAGAGAATGTTACTCTAAGAATGGGCCTGTACTACTTTTTTCTCCTTCGAATCTTTTAAAGTGTGTGATAAATGTGTCTCTCATTGAGGACATGAGTGTGCTTGTGCACATGTGCATTAATTGCATGCTCCGTTTTATATGTATTTTTCAAAGCCCAAAGCCAAATGATTTGTGTTTAAATGTCCATACAGTGAGTGACATCACTCAAGGCTTCTAATGCATTAAAAGAGGCTCATGTAGAGAGAGGTGCAGTGTGTTTGGACCTTTAAAGGAAGGAATATTTTCAGGAGCTGTGCAAGGAAATGTGTATTTTGCCCTGACATTGCACCCACTGCCTTTTGGATTCTCTGAAAGGCCCTGATTTCCCTTAACGTTTCTCATTTTCCTTTTTGAATACTTCTAATTTGGTCAATGATGATGTAAATCTGTGTTATTTATATTAATATGCTCTTATTTATATTGATATACATTGTCAAACATATTTTTAATAGCATCTTTTGTCAGAAATAGTTATATAATATAGTATAGTTATACCATTGTGTAATTGTTTCATGGAATTTAACAAAAAATAAACATAAAAATTCCAGTGCTTGAAATTATGTTGGATTCAGTTTATTGCTTTCATTCATATGACTCCTGCATAGTGTTGGAATAGATAAAACAATGCTTAAATCGCACACTACTGATCAAAAGTTTGGAATCAGGGTTATTGAAAAATTTAAGGCTGCGTTTATTTGATCAAAAATACAGTAAAAACAGTTATTGTTTAAAAAAAATAAACGTTTATTAAAATAACTGTTTTCTATTTTTTATTTAGTAATTTAGTCCTGTGATGGCTGACTTTTCAGCATTGAGCTGATTGGAAAGCGTTCTTATTATTAATGAGCAGTGCTGTGGAAAGATATACGTTTTAAAGTAATGCATTACAATATTATGTTACTCCCTAAAAATGAATTTAGTTAATTTTATGGAAAGTAATGTTACGTTACTTTAGCATTTGCTTGTTTTTTGATAGCTCAAACAAATCTTACACCTCTGCGGCCGTTCTGGATTGCAGAAAAATTGTACAGGAGAAGATGTTCAACTCTTGAACGTAGTAAGTTCAGCTTACTTCAGCAATAAAAACACAAATAGGATGTCATTCTTTGATTATTCATATGATTGAACTGGATCATCAAAAGTCAGCGGCAAAGGCATTGGTTAATATAGTGAGATTAAATACAGTGTATTTGTGTAATTTAACAATTCATTATTGCTGGTTTGCATAATATTCTGAGTTTGAATTGTTTGTATACATTTTTAGAAAAACTAAATCTTTTTTTGTGTAAGTGACTAAATTCTTCTTTAGTCTGTCAGTCAATTATTGGGAGTCAATTAACTTGCATTACTTATTTGAAAAAGTAACTATTGGAAAGATACTTTATTGTAAATTTAAAAATAATGCATTACTTTACTAGTTACTTGAAAAAGTAATCTGATTACATAACTCGCATAACTTACATTACTTGTAATGCATTACCTACACTGTTAATGATGGTTCTTTCATACTTTTGATACTTTTTTTGATGAATTGAAAGTTCCCCCAAAAAATTTTTGTTGTTGTTGTTGTTGCTGTTTGTTTGTTTTTTAATATAAGTTTTTGTAACTGTTTTTACAATACTGTTTTAAAATATTGATTTCTTTAAAAAAAATAATAATAACTTACTGACCCCAAACTTTTGAATGGCAAATAGGTAAAAAGACTAATATAAGATACAAATAATAGTAATAATTTACTGTAATAGACATTTACTATATTTTTTTAATAAATCTAATTACAGCAAAATGCATAGATCTGGAGTATATAATAAATTATAACTCAAGTCCATCAGACCACTGATGGACTTGAGTAGAAGGTTCTAATTTTTGCTTAATCAAAAATAACGACCCATTTGAAGAATTTTGTCAAACAAAAAATAACTTGCAGAGACCGTATAAATCCTGCAATTCATGAGATCTGTTTTAACTTACAGTGCCTTTAATGTGGATTACTGTGGAAAGACAGTCTAAAAAAGAGGCAACAACACCCCCCAGTGGTTCCCAGCACAGATGCAAACAACAATTTGATAAAAAGCTTACCAACTGAAACACTTTCATAGATTTGAAGAAAACAAAACACTTGTACAAAAGCAAATAATATTAATATATTGTTGAATTTCAGCAAACTTCAACGAAACAAAAATCAAACATTGTTCAGTTTAAGCCACATTAAAGTGATTTTGAGCATTAAATGCTTACAGAACTTTGTGGTCATGTGAATTAATAAAAAATTGCATGGGCAGTTTTATACATTTTATAAATATACATTTTTATATTCATATCCACTAGTTATATCTTATCAGGTAAAAAAAAAATTGCATGTACAAAATATATTTTTTTCAAAATGTATCCTTAATCCTCATCCAGAAAATGACTCAAACAATCATGGGGTCTTTGAATACTGTTGTGGACAATGGAAGCCTTGAATATTTGTAATGCATTAAAAACATTGATAATTAGCTAATGTCGTTTTTAAAACTCAAGCGCACGATTCAGCATAGAAATCACACATTTTAGACATTCAAAAATATAAGCTTTTCGACTTTGGAAAAAGTAGAAATGGCTACACTGAGGTTTCTTTTTTCATAGAAGGGGAATGGGAGTGTTTCCTGAAGAAGAAAGGAGACCTGACATGTTGTCTGTACTGGTGAAAGCGGTTGTACAGAGCCCGCTGAGATACAGCCCAGAAACACTGCCTTCAGTCTCCACTGGACCCTCACAGACCCCCACGCTATCCCGTACTTGACTGGGACTGAACTGGGAAAGGAAAGGGGTTGAGTCCATAACTACCAGTGAATCCAGAGACAGGCTGTCATTCCTTAGCTCCTCCCAAAGATTCCCTTTAAACAAAGATAGAGAACATGAACATCAATAGACAGGGGTTCATCCCAATTTGTGCTCGTATGCACAATTCTATGACGTTTTTAACTGTAAATAGTACGAGAAGTGTTTTCACAATGAAAATTCCAAAAAGAAAAAGTGCACTTTAAATACCCCGATGATGCACTAAATCAGTCCTGGAGTGCCGTTCTATATTTATTTTATAGCCTTTAGTTTAGCTCCAACCCTGACAAAAACTCACCTGCCTGGAGCCTTAGTGGAAAAACTGAGTGGAAAACTATAATTATTTTTTAAATTATTGTGAATTTGATATTTCAGTTTTTCCTTTTTAATAAATGTGCAAAAATGTCAACAATTCTGTGGTTTTTCTGTCAATATGGGGTGCTGTGTGTACAATAATGAAGGAAAAAATTATTTTAGCAAATGGCTGCAATATAACAATCATAACAATGAGTGAACAATTTAAGGGGGTCTGAATACTTTCCGTACCCACTGTAAATATATACACATATACACACACATTATTTACACTTATAATAATAGTCACTCGAAAAGGAAGTGGAAAGAAGTATAACTTATTTGCGATCTAAACAGTTGCGATTTAGATTTTGCTGTTAATTTAAATCAGATTCCAATGACATACACAAATAATCACAACTCAATCTTACCATGTAATTGTAGATCTGTGAGGCTGGGATTTAATGTATCAACATCATTGCTGATTTCTCCATCCAGCAGAAGCTCCTGCATACTTGCTGTAGTGCTGTGACCAGCCTGCAGGGCGGTGCTGTAGCTTGGTGGGGTGTGTGCTGGTAAGGGGGAATCCAAGCTGCCTGTCCTGGGAATAGAGGGATGCCCAGCACTGGGCTGATGGGTGACTGGAGAGTGGTATGGGAAAGCTAAAGTGTCTGGAGGTAAGTAGGGGGGAGGCGGGATGACAGTTTGAGAGGGTAAAGGGCTGTAGATAGACTTCTGATGCGGGACACTAGTCTCATGGACAGGTTGGTGTCCGTAGGCAGGATGCATGGCAACTCTTAAGGACTGAGAATGTGTATGGCTGCTTGGTAGACTGAAGTGAGATCCAAGAGTCTTCAATTTTTCAGGTCTCTCCCCAAGCAGACGTTCCAGCTCCTCTAAAAAAATGAGCTCCTCATAAATAAATACAGTATATAAATAAATAAATAAATATATATATATATATACACACATTTTAAAATATATATTATAAATATATATATATATTATATAATATAATAGAAAGTAATATATTGTAATATCTATAGACGAAATATAATTTGGGGTCGGTAAGATTTTTTAAAAATAAATAATTAATACTTTTATTCAGTGAGGATAAGTAAACTTTATTGTCACTTATTGTCACTTAAAAATAAATAATTAATACTTTTATTAAGTGAGGATAAGTAAACTTTATTGTCACTTAGTCACAAGTACCAGTGGAATTGAAGGATTTGTTTATGTTTAACTGGAGTAATGATGCTGAAAATTAATTTTGCCGTCACAGGAATAAATTACATTTTAAAATATATACACATTCAAAACTTTTGTTCTAAACAGAAATAATATTTCACAATCTTACTGTTTTTATTCTATTTTTTTATCAAATAAATGCAGCTTTGGTGAGCATAAGAGACTTCTTTCAAAAACAAAAAAAAATTGTGCCAAAATCTTCAGTATAATCGCCAGTATGGGTAGATTTGGCATTATGTATGGGGGTATAGTTAGGACTAAGGGTTAGGGTTAGGATTAGGCCAACAAATAGAGGGTTGAACCCTTTGCGCACCTGGTCGGGCCATGCTCCTCCGTACAGTCAGCGGATCTTTACGTCTCCACTTGTGAAGTTCCTCCTGCATCTTCTCTACCTTCGCTGGGTTCAGGGCCCACAGGCAGCCCTTTCGAGAGGAGTTCCCATTCTTGTTCTCTACTTTCTCAAAGCACTTGTTTAAAGAGAGGTTGTGTCGGACAGAATTCTTCCATCCATCAGGTGCTGTCTGAGGAATCACAAATAAAACTAGGTGTGCAACGAAAAATAATGAATCTTGTAGCAGTCAGTTCTCTTTCTTACAACACTTCCCTCAGTGAAGTCAACACTGGATCGGTACGAATCTGCATGTTTACCAATTGATGAGCCAAAATAATGTCACATTGTAAATCCCTTTACCAGCACAGCGCCAAGAGGAGGGTGATTAAATGATCAGCCATATAGAGATCATGCCATAACAGGCATTTTCCAGGAAATATGAGGAACAAATCTGTTTACATTCTGTATTTGTTACATTCCTCATGAACAGGCCTCCTCTGTAACTGTTCACTGTATGTATATTAGATGTAGAAATTGTTCTGAGAAGTGGTAGTGCAGTTTACCTTGAAGTAGGGGAAATGATCCGTCATGAAGCTGTAGATCTCACTTACTGGTAGACTGCCCGTTTTGCTATTCCTCAGAGCCAAGAAGATCAGAATACTGCAAAGAAATATATGAAAAATCACCAATCAAACAAGACTATTGTGATGCATTGGTTTATTTTGATTTGTTTGGAAGTATTATCAGTTGTGACCATGTTTTTTGATGCTTTTATATATGCTTGCCAAAGTGACAGTGTCTGCATTCACATACATTGATGTATATACATATTAGTATGTGGTATAGTAAATAATTGAATCTTTTCATTCATAACAGATGACTGATTGTGGTTTAGTAGTTGTCAGCAGTTTAGTTATACTTTTTTTATTTGCAACTACATATGTATAAATAGTTGTTGTTCATCATTTAAAGGGGTCATTGATTATGATTTCACTTTTCTAACTTTAGTTAGTGTGTAATGTTGCTGTTTGAGCATAAACAACATCTTTAAAAAAAAATTGCTTTCTATAAGAGACTACAACAAATGGCTGGTAGGAACTACACTACATTCCTCCCGGAGATCATGAACCCTAAAATTTACATAAACCCCGCCCCCGGAATACGATTTGTAGATTATCAAGACAGAATATGCTAATCAATGACTAAAAGATAACTACACATAAGCGACATAAATTCATCTACTAACCATTCTTGTTGTCACATGTTGTCACTTCTTCTTGATTCTCCTCATCTTTCTTACTCCGGTTTGAACATTAAAGGCTAAAAGTTTTTGAAATTTTCAGTGCATGTCAGTGTGAGGTAAACAAAGCTGCTGAGAAGCTCCGCCTTCTGTGACCGGAGCAGCAACTCATTTGCATTTAAAGGGACAGACACAAAAACTGACTTTTTTCAACTTTAACATGTTATATAAAAATATCTGTGGGGTATTTTGAGCTAAAACTTCACATACACACTCCGGGGACATCCGAGATTTATTTTCATTTTGTTCATCTCAAAATTGTCGAATTTTGAAATGCTGGATATTGGTTTTAATGATTTTTCACGTGAAGCTGCACATATTTACACTCAGCTGATTTTTAGATCAATGACATGATTGTAAGTGTGATGTTCCGTTTAACATTTTAAAACATTCATATTTTAAATAGAATGGAGGTTATGTTGTAAATTTTTGAATGAATCTCAGTGACTCAGTCACTTGTTGGCAATACACAATACAGTAACAATATTTTTCATAGACGTATTCACGTTCAATATAATATATAAATGAGTTATTCCATTCATCAACTTATAGATTTATATCAGCCAATTATCATAGCCTAAGCAAGTGACAAACATTTAAACATGGTACTTGTTTTGTATAAAATGTTAGGCCCTGAGACGATTTAGAACTAACAGGTTTCAGAAAATGATCTTTTTTTGAATATATATAGATAATACAGGTAGGTGCAAATACATACCTGTAAGAGTAGACGGGTTTAGGGTAGAGTGTCTGGGCAGAATTGTCTTGAGATGTTTGTGATGAGAGGCTTTGGCTATAGTAGTGAGAAACCGTGTCTATTCCTCTTGAAGAATAAAACTAGAGACAGTACATACAAAAATAACTCTCTTTAATTAAAATTAATTAAAAAGTATTATTGTGTAATTACACTTTGTGTAATTATTGGTAATAAAAAACTTGTGTTGTCAAATCGATTAATCACGATTAATTGCATGTATCAAAAGTTTGTAAATATAATATATATACATATAAATATATATGCATACACACACATATGTTTATTATATTATATTTTTTTTCAATCATGATTAATCAATCTCGATTAATTGACTTGTCAGCACTAATTTTTTTTTTGTTTAATTTTTAAGTTTCCATACTACACCCATGTTCAACAAGAGTATATCTTTGTTATTTGTCAGTCTTAGGATGTAGTAGAACTTTCTGCCAATGTTTTGACTGAACATGTGTCCAAAACCTGATCATTCGATCATTTCTACCTTCTTACATATGCCAAAGTTTACCTACAGTAGTCATATCAACTTACATATACACTACCGTTCAATGTTTGGGGTCAGTAAGATTACATTTTTTTTATTTACTAAGGATGCATTGAAAAGACTTTTATAATGTCACAATAGATTTCTATTTCAAATAATCCTGAAATGAGAAATGCAAACTTGGTGAGCATATGAGAAAAAAAAACAAAAAAAACTTTTGAACAGTATCAGTATATCACACATTCTTTCAGGAGTACCTGATGTTGTAGAGGACTGATGGCACTGTACGTCTGATGATTAACTGAGGTGTAGTCGGAGGATCTTCAGAGCTTATCTGAGGCTCACTGTAGAGGTGTTGAATTCCCTGCCCCAAGAGCAGACCATGATTTACTTAGTTCTAACAAATCATATGTTAATGCTTCTTTAAAAAAATTGTAATAAGGACATCTGCTTGCACATCTGCCTGACAGGTCTTCTTCTTTCCATGTCTTTTGCCCCTGGCCTAAATAGTGCTGGCAGGAATTTAAAAGAGCCTTCAAGGTTACATATATATATAAAACATATATATATAACCTTGAAGGCCCTTTTAAATAAACCCAAGAGAGCTAAATACTACCTTTAAAAATGGGAATTTTTTTTCTTTTCTTTTTTTATCTGAACAAGAAATCTTAAAATTTCGTTTTAAACAATCACTCAGTCTCACCATAATGCTAGTCGTCTCCACATTAGTGCTTAATGGACTCCAAGAGGATTGTTCCTCCAATCCATCGGCCGTGTTGAGTTTCCCAGCCAGTCCAGGTCTTCTGAGACAACTGAAGGTCTGACCCTCACCGATGGCCCCTTCACTGCATTGACGTCTGTAAGGATGGTAGTGATAGTTTTCCGCCAGGCCAGACTCCTGTTCAACGGGGCTTCCGTCTATGCTGTGTCTACGAAAGCGCTCGGCACTCTTCTGCCTATAGGGAACGCGCTCTCTTTGGGAGTAAGGTGCAAACCCCTCTCCAAAATTGCTCTGGTGACACTAGATTGAACAACAAAATAATGCAAAAACACTATAAAACATGCATATTAGCTCACCAATATGAAATTCCTAGAACCTAAAATTGCCTAATACATGCAACAAGGCAACGAATTAATGCACTCTTTAACATAAAGCAGTTTTCCAAGTGGAAATGCAGTAGCACGTAAAGATCTTTGATCTGCTAAAGAGCCCATAAATGCATTTAATGTGATACACAGCCTTCCCTAGGGGCCATAATTAATTAATATTTAATGAAGAGGATTTGGTAAAAAGGCAGGATGAAATCCTTCTATTTCTGCCGCAGGGTCTTGTGTCCTTGAATAGTGCCTTGTGCGGAGGTTCATGTCCTCATCAAAAAGTAATAATTATGACACGGTCGTAATGAGAGCAGATGGCAGGGAGCGGTTTCTAAGAAGCGGCAACTACAGAACAGTGTTTCAATCAATCAATCACCCATCCATCTTTCTGTCTCTCTATCTATATATGCCTGTCTGTCTATATATCGTTCTGTGTTCCTAAATTGATTAAAAACAAATGTTTTAAAATGAATACATTAAATTATTAATACCTGTGACTCTGGCATCTGAAAGCAGGGCGACCCAAGAGGGTCAAAGGATTGTAGTTCACAAGGAGAAGGAATTGGAGAGCTGCTGCTTCTGTTTAAAGACAGGCCTTGGGACTCAGAGGACATCGTCCCTTCAACCCGCCTCTTTAAAACAACACAACAGTTCATCAGGTTTTGTAGATGAAAGATAAATAGATGTAATATGCAAATGTGATGCCTTCAGCTACTGTAAGAAGAAAAGCAAGTAAAACACGGCACAATGTACCCTCAAACATTTACACTAAAGTGCTCTGGGGCTGTAGTTTTAAAGATAAGAATTATGCCATATAATGCTATCATGTTTCATGACATACATATACAATAAAAATCAACCTCATGGTTTTTTTCCCTCATGTACAAAATACATTATGTTATACATGTGTCCAAACAATCAATCTCTCTAGATTTGGCCTTTGAGCAAACCTACAGTCTTACGGGTCGTAACTGTGTAACTGCGTCTAGTAAGCATTTTTCATAACGGTCCATGTTGAAGTGAAAAAGGTCCAAAAAGCTGTATATATCATTGCCCTGACTGCTATCTGATCATAAACAGGTAAAACATAAGGCCACATAAGTATCTAGTATTCCTGGAAATTCAGGCTACTTTCATTTACTGTCAGCAGACAGTGCCGTTTGAGCCAAAAACTCATTAAAATCACCAACAAACCATGAAGGAGAAGCAGAAGTGTGTTAGTGACATGAAATGGAGATGGGGGAGTTTTGCTCCATCTGAAACATAGAGCGTAATTCAGTACTGGAGAGGAAGTTGAGCTGGCCTTTATGGTTCATCACTGTGACTTTTAAACCGATCCTTTGACCTGTTACGGTCGAGATACAAGCCATTTCCACTCTTGAGAGAAAACAGCTGAGTATACGTAAAAAGGTTATTGGGTGCTTGTGTGTTTAAACTTTAAATGATTAGGCAAGCAAATGAGGGACAAGAACCGGATTTAATGCTATATATAATTTTAAAGTAGCTATATGTTTTTTTTTAAAGTCTGTTTTACTGTAAACAATAATATAACTACATTTTGTATTTCAAAAATTTTACTCAGCTCTCTGGAATACTTGATTCTGATTGGTCATCTGCAGTCCAGCCTCGCATATTGTTGTGTTGCTGTGCTCGTCTTGTCACTAAACTGATTGCTTTGTACGTTGTAGTGGACAATTTTTTTCTCAGCGGAATCATTAAGATAAGATACACTTGCGAGATAAAAAAAGGTATGAATTTAACGTAATTATATTACAAAATATACAGCATGTTCTGAACATAGACTAAAAATAAATATTTCTGAATGTATAAATGTAAATTCTGAATATATAAAATGGATACATACAAATCTTAAACAGCAGAAATGTGATTTATAAAAAAATAAAACTGATGGTTTTAAAATCTTTGTCATGTGAGTCTTATTTAGGAGTGTTTAGCCAATAGGAGTTACTGGATGATTAGATTCAAGTTAAAATGTCACTGCTTTGAGGGTCATTTAATCAAGTCAGTGAAATCACTAAATAAAATGGAACCAAATGAGATCCTTCTCCTTTTAATACATCCACTGTGATAGAGCTACAACTTTACTTGATTTATAATTCATTTATTCCTGCATGGACCCAGGTCGTTCTTCATAAAGAGCTTTACTTCTGCTTTTGGCTCAGCCAAATACTGCTTAAAGCAGTGTTTAAATATATACTTATATAATTATATTTAATAACAGTTGATCGTGTTGTGCGTGTTGTAAATTTCAGTTTTAATGCCCAATGTTTTTATTTGATATATTGAGAAGCTCTAGAAATTTAAAATGATGAACATGTTCTGTTTCCCATTAGAGGTCAGTAAGCCATGCTATATAATCCTCTAATACAAGATAAAAAAGAAGATAAAGTGTGTGTGCATGTGTGTTCTTGTTTAACTGAGAGGACCAAATGTCCCCACAAATAGTAAAATGTGAACATTTGGTCTGGTCCAAAGATATAGACTACAAGTAAGTGTGTGTGTGTGTGTGTGTGTGTGTGTGTGTGTGTGTAATGTCCACAATCCTCGTATTTTTTGAAAATGTAAATGCAGAAAGTTTTGTGTGTTGGGTATGGTTTAAGGGTCGGGTTAGAAGAAGAGGATAGAAAATACAATTTGTAAAATATAAAAAATCTTTACGTCTACACTGTAAAAAATATTGTTGGTTTAATTTTAAAAAAGTACGTAACCTGGTTGCCTTAAAATTTTAAGTTGATTGAACTGGAAAAAAGTGAGTTAATACAATGAAGGAGAATAATTTAATCATCAAAAACTCAAAATAATAAGTTGTCTCAAATAAATAAATTATTTAGGTTGATTTGACAAAAGTAAAAAATGTTGTGATAACAAATCTTGAAAATATTTTTTATACAAGTAAGTA